AAAAGTAAAAAATGTAAATTGGATCCAGGGTATCCTAACATAACAGCCAAATATCCTGAACCAGGAAAACTACAACATGTAGGAAAGAAAAACTGATGCTCACACTGGGATGAATGAAATATTGGATTATCTGACAATGATTTTAATGCAGTTATCATAAAAATCACTCTACAAGCAATTACAAGTTCTCCTGTTTCACAAATCAAATAAAAAATATCAGCAAAGAAACAGAAGTTAAAACAGAGCCACATGAAAATTACAGAATTGAAAAATACAAAAAGAGAAAAATACTTATTGATAGGTTCAGTAACGGGTGAAGCTGACAAAGAACAAAAATCTGAACAAAAGAGAGAGAAGACTGAAAAAAGCAATGAACAGAGCCCTCAGGTACATGTGGAACAATAAGTGACTGAACATTGGTATCATTAAAGACCCAGAAAAGAAAGGAGAGAGTGGAAATGAAAAAGTGTTTGAAAAATAATGGCTGAAAACTTTCCATATTTGGCAAAATACACAAACCCACAGATTCAAGAAGCTGATGAACCCTAAATGGCATGAACTATTCTTCAGGAATAAAGGGGCAATAGTCATCCTCAAAAGAAAGCAGGATTTGTCAACAGCAGACCTTTTTCTGAAGACTGACTAAAGGAAGTAATAAAAGATGGATACTTGAAGCAAACAGAAGAATGGAAATAGCAGAAATATAGATAAAACCAACAGATTGCCATTTCTTATTTAGTTTTATTAAATCATACTGATGACACATTTTGAATATAAATTGTAACAATTGTAACAATTTATATTCCAGTCAAAACATTCTAACAGCATTTACTTTCAAGACAATGATACTTAAAACTCAGAGAGGTCAGAGGCGTAATTGGAAGCATGGTCTCCACATGGTCTGGAAGAGATGCTGATACCAGTATCACATATTTAAAATGTAGTACCAACAGCAACCACAGAGAACTGTACTAAACAATACAAACAAAAAAAGAACACTAAAAATCAATCAAAATGGAATTCTAAGAAATGTCCAGGTAACTAAGTAACCCATGGAAAGCAAAAAGATAGAAACAAGGAACCATAAAGAGGAAAGAAACAGAAAAAAAAAAGGCAGAAAACTTTAACATAACAATTCCCTTAAACACAAATGGTCTAACTATACCAATTAAAAGGCAGAGATGGACCGAGTGGACAAAAAAAAAAGATTCAACCATATGCTGTTTATAAGAAACTCATCTCAAATTCAGCAACATAAATAGGTTGAAATGAAAAGAGAAATATATACCACATAAACATTAAAAAAATACAGGAATGGTTATATTCAGAACAAATAACATTACAAGACATAAATAACAATGGAACTTATATAATGATGAAAGATCAACCCACCAAGACATTATGATTCTAAACGGGCATGCACCAGCAAAGCCTGATGGAGATGAAGACAAACACCAAAAGAGACTGACATAAATATGCTCAACTTATTTTTGACATATGTAGAAAAGTAATTCAGTGGAGAAGGATACAACAGTATATTTAGAATATGCAAAGAACTCAAACTCAACAACTGCACTCGACTGTAACTTTATTCATAATAGCCCCAAACTGGAAACAATGTTGAAGTCTTTTCAACTGGCAAATGGTTAAAAAGAGTGGTAAATCCTTTTCAAGGAATAAGTACTACTCAGCAAAAAAGAGGAACAAACTGTTGAAAGATGCATACAGAGTTCATCAAATTAAAACTTTTGCTATGAAAAAGATTCTGTTAAGATCAAAAGACTAGCTACAGAATGGGAGAAAAATACCTGCAAACTATATATTTCCTAAAGGACTAGAATACACAAAGAATCGAAAATTCAGCAGTAAAAAATTGGACATTTCATCAAAAACAACATACAGATGGCAAGTAATATGGAGAGATTCCATATCATTGCTATCAGAGTAATTCAAATTAACCCACAATGGCATATTACAACACACTTGGCAGAATGGATGAAATGAACGATTTTGACACCACTAAATGCTGGCAATGATACAGAGAAAGTGCATCACTCATATATTACCCAGGGAAGTGTACGATGGTATAGAAACTCTGGAAAGTAGTTTTAAGAAACCTGAATCATTTTCTTAAAAAAAGTAAGCACATACATCATATGATCCAGATTGACTCTTTGGCATTTATCCCAGAGAAAGAAAACCTATGGTTCATGCAAAACTCAGTGCCTAAATGCTCATAGCAGCTTTATTCCTAATAGCCAAAAATTGAAAACAGCCCAAGTGTCCTTTAATGGGTGAATGGTTAATCCATATTGTGGAATATTATGTGGCAATAGAAAGGAATGAATTATTGATACACTTAACAACTCTGATGGACCTCAAGGGAATGATGCTGGAGGAATGTGAGTGTGGTTACAAAGAGACAGCAAAAGGGAACCTTCTAGTGATGAGAAGGTTCTGTACTTTGACTATGGTACTGGTTATGCAAATCCATACATGTGCTAAAAATGCACACACCTATATGTACATACAAGTAAGTGCATGAAAAATTGAAAGCTGGAACTATAGATTGTAACTATCAATTTCCTGATTTTGTTACCATTGTGGGAAAACAGATGAAGGGATGCGATCAACCCAGACTTAAAAAAAAATCCCAATGAATGTATAATTATTTCAAAATAAAATAAAAAAATAAACAAAAACCTTCCCACAAAGAAATTTTCAGGCCCAGGTAATCTAACTGGTAACCACTACCAAATTATTTAAGAAAAAAATAATACTAATCTTACACAAGTATTTCTGAAAATAAGTAAGGGTACTCTTTTGCACTCATTATATGAGGGTAGAAAAAACCTGATAAATATATTCAAGAAAAGGAAAAAACAGGTCCATATTTCTCATGACCATAGATCTAAAAAGGTCCTAACAAAATGTTAGCAAAGTAAGAGCAGTATATTTATAAACAGACCACAGCTAAGGTGGATTTATCTAGGATTGGAATGATGACATGAACCATTAACACTGAAAAATTAAATGGAAATTAATTATACAAACTGGGGTAGGGATGAAATCTGAATCTTTTCAAACCTCTGAAACAGATATTCAGTTAAAAGGAAATTACAGTCCCTACCTCTTATACCCAAAAAAGTAGTGAGCAGGGGATTTAAAAAGATATTTTTAAGTCTCAGCAGTCAAATGAATGAAATCAGGGAGAGCTTTACCAGCAACTGGAAACACAAAACCTTGCTTGTGACGCAACATTTTCACAATTTATTTTTATGAATATTATATACTTAAATGTTCATTTTAAAATGCAAGGTTGTTTTTCGAATCATTTATTTTCATTGATTTTATTACTGGCAAAAATTTTAGAATTACATTTTTATAATACTAAAAATTAAAATCGTATTTCTAGTGCTGTCTTATATAAAATGTTATGCTAATTTTCAGCTGAAATGTATTAAGCAGTTTCAAAGTTTTCTGTTCACTTCATTTTAATAAATTCTGAATACTTTACATAAAATACCAATCAAGATATCAATACTGCCATTTTTTTACGTTATAGTACTATTCTAAGTCTTCAACTTTCTGCTAGTTGTAGACTATAGTTACTGAATTAATGCTTTCGTATTTATGTTGATAAAACTAAGAAGTTGAATTTTGTTTAAAAAGATATTCAGAATATTATTAAAAGTTGAATTTTGTTTAAAAAGATATTCAGAATAATATTAATATCCATGTCATTTCATGTACTAGCTTGCCATTTAAACCATGCATTCACATATGATCTTAAGATATGTATGTATCAAGTAGGAATTACGCTATTACAAAAGCTAGAAATGAAGACCTTCATTTAAAAAATGGTTCCCCATAAAGAATGGCACAAGATATTTTCAATAATTTTCAGAGAAATGTTAAGATGATACAAGTCCTGACTATCTGTGATCGATAATATCACTAACAGAGATACTGCTGGGATACTCCTCATGACTTTCAGGTGAGGTTCTATCACCATGTAATCGCAACCCTTTTATGGGTCACCTTTGAAATTTCAAGTAAGTAGCAGAACAGTGGTTGCTAAGAGTAAATAAGTTCATGACTGCTGCTAGAAATGACCAAGGGTCTACTAAAGAGGAAATACCAGTAACTACCTACACACCAAACTAAAGAACAAAATAAATAACAGAACCAAAGAAAATAATGTAACATAAAAATAATATAACACAATATAAAATATTTATTTCTAAATAGTTGATATTCATTCTAATGTTCACATACTTGAGCCTTATAGAGCAATAACCTTCAGAGACAACCTCCAGAGAATTATCTGTTCATGTCTTCCCACTCCACCACACTAGTGGGTGTCAAAAGGGAATCTTTGTCCCTTTTTACCACTCGTAGCAGGGGAGGAAGCAGCATCTGTTTTTCAGGATTGGAAAGCATGGTACAGAAAAGGAGACAGTACAGCAGGAAAAGCCATCTGTTTGGAAGCACGTAAGATTGGGAATCTCTGCCTCTTTCCATGAGAATCTGGGGCTCAGTTTCTTTAGGTGTAAAATAGAAATACTAGTATGTATCTTGGCATGTTACCATACAGATTAAATAAAGGAATGGACTATTACACACAAAAGATGTTTCATACAGGAACAGTTCACAGAGGTCAAAAGAAAGGAGAATATTCAGAGGTGGTAGTTTTATTTTCATCATCTTCTAATGAGCAGTAAGCATATTCTAATCAGAATCACTGAGAATAGTAGTAATTTATATCTCAAATGCAGAAGACATGCAACTTACATAAAAACTTTATTCAAGAAATGTATCACAAGATTAACAAAAACTGGTAAATTATATTACAAATACAATCCTAATTTTATAGATTGAGAATTTATGAGTTTGCTTACTTGAGAAGTTATTCCTAGAGACAAAGGTCTAAAGGTCTAAAGCATAAAGCACACCTCTTTGGTGAATTAAATCTTCCTTTTAAGAATTAAGCACCTCACCTAATCAGAACAGAGTCCCTGGTATAGCCACCATCATATTCTGTAGTTTCTTCTAGTGCTTGGAAATCTAGATTCTGCAAATTCAAGAAAATATATCTTAACATCTTCTACATCACACCATTACAAACAATAAATCAATACACATACTTTTGCAGACACTTGTTTTCTTACCCGGCTTCCACATATAAGCAATTCAATTTCCTCTGGTCTGAATAAGTATTTTAAGGGAGATTCATTGGTCACCATATGAAAACCTCTCCGAAAAGCCTTGAACTGTTTTTCTACTGATTTATTGAGAATGTAGTCAGAATAGAGATTGACAAATTCCTGCAGAAAACATTAACCATAGAACTTCTTATAGTGTGTGATATAAATAAAACACAACATGCTACTGGATTACATAGCTTTTATGTTTTTATTTTCCAAAGAAAAAACATTTAAGAATATTTTTAAAACTTCAAACTTTGCCCTTTAAGCTTTAAAAGAAAAAAGTTTTAACAATTTCACATGTCTCTGCAAGAGCCAATAATAACCCTAAAAAGGCCATGTACATAAACTAATAATACATACTAGGTTTCAATTTAGATATTATTCCGAACAACATTGAACATAGAAGCTGGGCCCCAATATAATTTGGAAGTTCCCTCAACTAGGTATGTGAACAAAGAGATGATTTAAACCATGAATCTATTTGTAAAAACTAACATTTTTAATAGAGTGCAATGTAATTGAGTTATGCAAACCAGGAAGTCTTATGTTTTCTAAGCTAGAATATTTGGGAAGTTGTCTACTATATCCAGATGAGCAAAAATGTTGGTGTTTTACTTGATACAGAAGCTATCATACCAAATTACGAAAGGAAAATGTACTTGTATTCTTAGTATAATATTTTATCAGACATTAATATAAACTCATGCTTTTTAAAGGTTTACTATATATTTATCATAATTTTCCTTTATGTTCTGGGTTATTCCCCTGTTTCCAGATGCATTCTTTTCTAGTCAATAGAAAATAAAAATCTGATTTAAAGATTACAGAATTGCATTTAAGTCACATATATATGTGTGTACATTAAATGCAATCATCATTTGTTTGGTGTTAAGGACCTTAATCATGAGGTCCCTGTTTCCCTCCCCTCCACAAGCCTAATATTATAAACACCCTGCTTTTCTTAGTATTACAGCCTCACTGAACCACTAGCTCTCACTCTTGTTTTCCTTGTCTTAAAGGGATTTAGTCACTCAACTGTACTCTCATATCAGCTTATATCCTAGATTTAGAAAACTGTGGCTATTTCATTTACAGGATCATGGTTACAAGATTTCTTGGATCTTTGTATGGATTTAATAAATACTTCTTTAAAAATTACAAGCATATGTGCTTTGCAATTCTGTTAATAAAGAGACAAAGACAATGATGATATAAAAATATTTATTACCTTCCTGTTTTCATTTGTAATCGGAATTTTATCACCATTTTCCTTTAGATCATACATCATTGGATTACCAAAAAGATCTGTCTGAGATATCTGGAAAGTGATCATCATATCATCTTCCACATTGCCTTCATATTCCAATAAATCTTTTAAACTCTGATAAAGAACCTAACAATTAAAAACGGAAAATTAAGCCTATCACAGAATTACAAAATGTAACAGTTTGTATCATTTTTCTTGGAAGAAAATAAATTGACAATAAGAACCAAAGCACAGATGGTATCGTTCCTATCCCCAAATAGTTTATAATACAGAAACTACAAGAAGACTGCCAGTCACTGATGATGTCCCATCTTGTGCTGAGAAACCCCACACCAGCAGTTTAGCAATGCATTTCACATTGCCCTGCTTGAGAAACTCAGAGGTGTCTCAGGGAGGAGATGAGGAGAGAAACACACACTGACTGTAGCTACCAAGCCCCTTACCCAGGACAGCTCTGATTTTACCAGGCAATCTCTTATGAGTTCATTAAAAAACAAACAGAATGTTTAAAAACACTTTTCTATAGAATCAGTCTTACAAAACCTGCTTGCTCGTGGCAATATATAAAAAACTTGCCTTTTGAGTTTTTAAGTGTTCATGGTACAGAAGATGGTAGGTCGAATAAAAACAACTTTATGTTACTAGGTATATCATCAAATATTCTAAATGAAAACTTATTTTTTTAATATAAATTAAACTATGTTTTTGCTTTTAAAGAAAATCTAAAAGAACAATAAAAAAATGACAAAGACTTACGGGGTGAGAGTCTCCCAAGTCACGAAAAGTTCCTTTTTTGCCCATTAGCTTCCTGTAGACAACCATGGGAAAATGTACATCCAGTATACAGTTATTGTAAATAGCCAGACCCAGTACTATGCCAATCAGAGTAAACTGACCCTCAGTTTCAAAAGAGGATGGATTAAACCAAAACAACTTTGTAGATTCATCATATGTGAACATACCTATAAGAAATGATTTTTAAAATACATTATTTTACTTTATTAAAGACTGATGAACAATACAAATGTAAAACAATTATACATGTAAACTGAGATGTACTAGGTAAACAAAATTTTTTTTCTTTGTTACATTAGCAACTTGGAGACTGATTGTTATAAATTGTGGCAAATGGCATATGATTTTAAGAAGCCAAGTAAACAATATGAGCAATTTTGGTGGTGTTTTCCAAGAAGTTAGGGAAATGTTCATTAAATTCAAGTTCTCTAGTCTTCTACTAACACAAATGATAATTTGCCATCATACTTTATCCAGTGAATGGCTGGCAAACGCAAAACAAAAGGACAAAAGGGCATCATATGCTGAAAATGTTTCATTTACAAAAACATTTAATCCATATGCACTGCTTAACATTTTTTTAAATTTCATTAAGGAAAAGTTATTTTTTCAAAATTGCACAATGGTCTAAAAAGTTTTCTCTCATCTTTCTAACAAAGTCAGGTAGCAAGTACGTCAACTCAGATAAACTTGATGAAAACTAAAGTTATTTAATACATTAATTGGGAGCCAATAAGTAAAATGAAAGTCATCTATTTCTGGTATTCTTTCAGTTTCACATGGTCTTCAATATTCAACATCCAAACTTGCAAAACATTTTTATATCACTCACTTAAAAACAGGAATCTTGGTTTTATCTATCTTAATAACCATTCCTAAAGCAAAATTATCTTCTCTTTAGATTAGTATCTGAGGAAAGGATTAAATGACATTTTAATTGAATTTTCAACACATTTTCCACTTTACTAAAATGCTTATCAGTTGCTAGTGTGAAACTACATGAAAATATTTTAAGAATTAGGTCTGAACAAAAAGGGGGAATTTCCAATAGGACAAACTTTAGAAATTAATACAGCACATAAATAAATCAATTTATAAGATTTCTGATAACTTTAAAAATGTTTCTTCATTTTCACATTTTAAGTTAAATATAAAGGAACTTTAAAATGCCCCCTTGATCATAAAAGTATAAATTAAGCTAGGACATTTTTCTAATGCAAATTAGTATTCATGAATAATAGTTAGAAAAGTATCCAATTTATACCTGAATCTCACAGTTTAGGTTTTAATTATTTTTTACAGGCCTAAGTTACAACATTCATTGAAGTGCTAAAAACTTCATTTAGTTATAAATGTGGTATTAACAGGATCAAGAAGTTGAAAATAATTACAATTAATCAATAAATTTGATGAAATCTCACAAATGTCCTAAGTCTAAGAGCAATAAACTACAAATTAGTCAGAATATAAATTACAAAGGTCTCTACTTTCATTTCTGTATAAGAACAGTAATAATTTCAAAGTCCAAAGAGATTCCATTTTGGTCATATTTTTTTCAGATCCCTTTAAGAAAAGCACCTTGAACGGTAGCTCTCCTAAAATGTTCCCTTTTGATATTTCTATTGCCATCATATCACAAGTGGAACTGTTTAATGTATGTTTTTTCTTAAAAGGATTTCTGCATGTAATGCAAGTATACTTTATATAGCTAATGTTCAACATTTCCAGATACATTAGAAGCTACAACTAAGGTGTATCAAACTTATGAAGCTTATAGTCTTCTACTTCAAATAGGGCATGGTTTTTGGGTGTCTTGGTTTACTTGGAACAAATTACACAAAAAATAACCTTCTTATTGTTAATTAAGACTATATAGTTTTAACTACATGTCATGAACTCAAAATGTTTACTTCTATTTACATATATATGTATATATATGACCAATTAACAGCCACAGGTAAGTTAGTCAAATTCAATGTACATACTAAGAATCAGTAGGCTTTAACAAGCTCAATTTTTAAAGTTTAAGGGAAATAATCTGCATTATTCTGTGTTACATTCTTCACAATTCTAAATAGTACCTTTTTTAGAATCCTTTTCTTCTGACATGTATTCAGTTTTAATAGTAAGGAAACCAAGTAACTAAGTGGTTGTACTGTAGAAACGGAATCAGTTCATAATTACCAGTTAAGTACACTATCAAAGAAGCTGTTGTTTTTTTCCCTGTTCTACTTTGCCCACTTTGTCTATTTCTTTGTCTATCAGTGGAACTCAAATCCTTCACTGTAAGGCTGACGTACGTAGATCAGTCTTTTCCGAAGTGTGTTCAATAAAAAGTCTTCTGGAAGGCAAATGTTATTCAATGTAGGGTGGAAAAAAGGTTTCTGAAATTCAGAAAGTTTGGGAAAAGATTACAATATTAAGCCCTAAGAAATCCTGTAGCAAATAAACCTAAGTGATTTGGTATCACTGTTTCCACACTTTGAGCATGGTGTACCTGTGAGACATTCTCCACATGCTCGACATCACTGCTTTACAAGATCTTGTTTCAGAAATTGAGTTTGATGAGTGTTTTAGGCTAAATACAGCGAAGTCCTTCAACTGAACCATTTGAAAGTTATTTTCAATTTCATTTACCTAAGAAATAATTTCCTACATTAAAATATTTGGCTAAGTAATATAAGACCTTGAATAAATGAGTGATGCGGATCAGTCCCCAAACCCTGCAAATTCAGTCATTATCTATGTTTCTAGGTAATCCATCCCCAAACCTCTTCTGCTGCTGCTCTTCATAATTGAGAATATTGATAAACCTGATTAAACAAAATTCTTAATTCAGAGAGACATCATGATCACATCACTAAAATATTTACCAATATCTGGATTGAAGATTTCCTCCACAACCAGCTGAAAAAATTCTTTGGAAACACCTCCCTCATCAACTCCTTGTTCTCCTTCAAATTCTACATACAACTGTTTCTTCAAGTCTGCAGGATTTTCCATAGCGATCATTTCTAGCTAGTAAATGAAAAGATAAAGTAAAAATAAGATGACTGCCAGTACTAGGATGAAAACAAAAACAAGGAGTTAAGTCTAGAAAGCAAAAGGAGACTGAATTTTGGTTTGCTTTAAGTGGAAACAGGAAGCAAACTGGTAAAAAGCCAGTGAAAGCAAAGCTTCAGTCTCACAGATAATTAAAAAATTAGACAGAAAAGAAACCAACATAGAATTGTAAAAGGGTTACTTTCTAAGTACTGATTTGTTATGAAATTAACATGTAGTAGAAAGTCAGGATTCAATATTCTGTTATTTGCATATAACAAACCTGGGCTTTAAGATTAAGACATAGAAGTCAAGACAGCAAAATGCACTACTACTCAAACTAAGTCAATCAGCAAAAACAATGGAATACAGAAGTCTGATTTTGTTTATTAGAATAGAAAAAAATTCAATAATTAAGTCTTAATATCTATTAAGCCATAAATACAATAAGTTTGATTAAGAAAAATGCATTGGGTAAATTATGATCTATTATAATAGCACTTAGTATAAATTACCACTTTTTAATGGATTAGAACACACCTATTTTTTCAAGTAGATGAAATGCATACTTGCTCAATCCTTACTCTTAATTTCTTATTAACAATTACAAAACTCTAGTATCTAGCATTTCAACTATAAATCTTTACCAAATACTTTGCTATATCTAAAGAATAATGAATATACATGGTGATTAATCTGTCATTATGAGTTTAATCATAGAATCAGCACTAGATTCTAATGTGAAACATTTAAAGTACTGCTATTTATTTATCTAAAATTTACTAATAGCATACTTCATTGATCATCTGCCTTATTTGCTAAGTTGACTTTAAATGCCTCGGGCTGTTAAAAAAAATTTTTTAATTGTCAACCCGGAATATCTAAGGGTGTTCAGGTTACTGCAGCTATTCCAGTAAGAATTTTTATAATAGTTTTGAGCAATGCAAACATCCTCAGAATAAGTGTACTATAGTTCTAAAGTAATTACTTCAGTTCACAGCACTAGTTAGGACATTCCAGTCTATAAAAAAATCAAATAAAGTCTCATAAATTCATGAATCAGGTCATTTGCCCAGCTAGATCAATGTTGTCAAACTGCCAACTGCAACTCATTATTGCATAGTCCAATTCAAGTAGTGGCTTGCAACCAATAATGGAAAAAAATCAGAATGCATTCCATAGTACTGGCACCTATTGTTCTGTGAAACTGTTTGTTATACTTACAGACATATATGCATGTAATGATGGTATGTAAAATATCTTTTACAAGGGGTTGCAATCAAAATGTTTAAAGAACAAAGGCTAAAATGATCTCCTGAGTATCTTCAACTGTTGGATTATACATTCTGTGAATTTAGAAATCTTTAGCTCTAAAGAATGTCTGCCCTGTATGACAGTAGTCTCCAACATTTACAAGGTCATTTTTATGCCAATCTGTATTAAGATAACTTATTTTTGAGAAAGGATGTTGTGGAAAAACTGAGCCAGAATACTGTGTACTAGTTCCAACTGTCAATTTTAGCAAGGAATTCAAAGTAAGCTTCAGTTTAAACATCTGCATAGAAAAAAAAGGGAGGGATAGTTCTCTTCTTTTTCATAAAGTTGTGAAGGCTTACATAAGAATATATGTGAGAGTTCTAGAGTGTGCAATATTATTAAGATAACACAACATGTTGCTCTCTTTTAAAACAACTTTGCTCCTCTTTGAACAAAAGGTTCATTATTTGACTTTACAACTTAGTCCCATGTTTTGAAAAAACCTTGGGGAAAAAATAGTTCCAGTTGGAAACCTGCTTCAAGCCACAGAATATAAAGAACCTGAGGATTAAATTAGATTTATAATCTTAGCTCACATGTGGTTTACCCATCAGTCCAACATCCCTCATTGCCATGAAACCCATTCCTAGTTTCCATCTCCCAGTTCCCATTTGCCTAAAGGACCATAAGTCAATTTTTATATATGCCCTTATAACACAAAGACAAAACTGCTTATAGCAAGTACAATGCATTCCAAGGCGAAAAACAATTATTTGCTATTTAAATTATGCTTCCTGTAATTCTTCCTCATTAACATTCATAAATGAGGGCTAAGTATAATGATACTTTTTTAAAAGATTTGGTGTAGTTTCTACAGGATTCAGAGGCCCTGTGTTGTAAAACATGTTCAAAACCTGAGACACTTTATGTGAAAACTGAAGTAAATTCATCTTCATTCCTAATATTACATGCTGAGTCCATTCCTATCAATCTCTACTGTTCCACATCTTGAATGCCAGAATTTAATGCAGATTTATAATTGTGAACATATACCTTTGTTTAGTTTCATCTTTAAAATTAGAATGTTAATAAATGTGAAGCATTTAGATGAATTCCCTGTACAACAATGCTTTATAAATACTAGCTATTGTTCTTATTGTTACTTTTAATTTCATTGGTCCTAAAATTTTTATCAGGTCTCTGAAAACCTAGTGACCGAAGACATTATAGAACAAAAATATTCCAGTAATAACAATGTAACAATAACATATAGCACTTGGGGGCACTATTTGAAGCACTTTACATTTATCAACTCATTTGTAATTTTCACTACAAACAACCATATGAGGTCAGTAACATTATTAACCCCATTTCATGGATGAAGACCCTCAAGTAAGATTCAATAACTTGCTCAAGTCAGAATTAGTAAACTCCAGGTAGCAAGCTCTTAACTACTGTTTCACTGCCTCTCAATGACCAGCATGAGTGATTTTTACTTTATGTTTCTGTATTTCCAATTTTCTTTACACTAAATCTGTTTTTACTTTCAGAGTCAAGATGGTACTCGAATGTAAATACATAAAAATAATGATTTGAAAAATGGTGGGAACTGAATTCTGTAGGTGAGAATTTCCCATTATCTATCATAGATGATCATTTTCAGATACACATTAAGTAGTTCTATTAGATAATGTAGCATTTATGTATACTGGGTAGCTTACATTTTTAAAAATGCTTAATTTTAACAAACATAAAACTTAGTGGTATCATTTTGACAAAGGCCATTAAGTAAAGGGCTGCATTAAATTTTTTCTTAAAATTATCCACTTCCAATCCATTGTTCAATTAATGACTAAAGAATTAAACTGTAAAGTACATCACTTTATGTAAAAGATACACTCCATTTAAAATAATTTTTAAAATCAAAAGCTATCTTGGATGCAATAGGGTATTTAGGGATTAGAAGAATGTCAGTGGACATGCTGAAAGGAGAATTTGTATGCATCTTTGAATTGAATTCACTTAGTGTATGAGAACTGGACTTTTATATACAGGTTTTCTTAAAGTAGGGTATATTTTATATTAATGCAATATAAAGACTGACAAAACACAGATTAATGGGGGAAAATAAAAATAGAGTGTTTGTAGTGACATCTACCTCTTACTTATATGACTTCCTCTTTTTACTAAGACTCCTAACTTCATCACTTGTTGGATAAAACAATTTTCAATTTCTGAACTTTTAATTGGCCATGATGAAATCCTAGGGAGATAATTTAAAAAATATATATGGACTTGATACTAAAGCATTCTCAGAATGACTAGGTAGGATAATATTTTAATATAAAAATACTTGCCAGATTTACAAGAGTCAAGAGAAAAACCCTAATCTTAAAGATTTTTAAGTATCCTGAGCTGCTACTCATGCAAATCCATTCTTATCAATAGTTAAAAAAAATTCCTTAATGGTATGGATATTTAAATAGAAGTACTATTCAGATAAAATAGACCTAATATTTGAGAATGCCTAGGATCCCCAAGAATGGCTGGTTTAAACTACTTCAATTTTTTGGACTATGGTTAACACTTTGCTAGTGAGTATGTTTAAACTATGGACTAGACTGAGATTTTTAGATCATCCAGATATATTAAGTGTTTTCATTTCTTTATAAACAAGAAAGTCTTTACATCTTAAATGTAAGGTTTAGATGTTTGGGTAATAGCCAAATCACATAATCACATCTGCCTGCAAGAAAGGAACCCTAAATTCTACTTCCAGTTCTATCAAGGTCTTTAGGCCAGAATCTCTCTGAACTTCTTTCCTCACATGTAATACTAAGGAGCTGGACAAGTCTCGTTCTTTTAAATTATTTTATGGTGCTGGGAATTTATGGAGATCTACTTCATTCTATTTTACTTTGAGGACATGAATCAGGCATGAAATTCTTCATCTGAATTATATTACATCAAAGAAACAGTAACTGTTCATTGTATTAACACAGTATCAGACTGTGTAAGATACAATTAACCATACCCAGAGCAGCACAGAATAATCTTAGTCTTAAAGCCTTGTAGTAGGTCAATTGATAAATAAAAGAATCAAGTTTTGTTTCAGTAACTAAGGGAGTTTGCCAAAGAAAATGCTAGCTCAGTTAGATAGTGTGGCTGAGCCCTACTCAAAGTTCCAGGACTCCTTGGGTAATTTGAAACACATTCACATCACCATTAACCCCTAGTCTAAGCATGCTATCTTCACCATCTTCTTAATGGCTGCCATTTCCTAACATATACCTGTGTGTAAAAAATGGCCTCAATAAATATGTATATATAAATTGTACTAATAGCCACCTTTCCAAATACCGTTTTGCTGTCTGACTTTATCAAAATATACAGGGTACTACCAGAAATATAGATTCCTAGGTTCCCCAACAGAGTTCCTAATTTGAATGTCTACAGGGCAGAACCTTGGATTTTTCTTTTTTAAAAATAAATTTCACATCCAGATGTGAATGGCAGTTTGGGGCTGATTATAAATGCAATACTGTCTGTCTTCTTTTCTGATACTCATACATTCTATCTCCTAATAATTAAAAAAAATTTTATACCCTCTTCCCTTGAGAATGCTTTGTCTAAGAAAAATGACAACTGAAGAACCCAAAAGCAGATTAACATTTTTAGTAAAATATTGTAAAAATCTCATCAGGACTTTTTTCATTCAAATGGAAGCTCAGCTGTGAGCTCATGTTTATCACTGTCATGTTTTTTAAGGGACAATAACACAAAATAGTGAAAATAAATCCTAGAGCGAATATTTGAGTAACTTAAGGGTGTGGGGATAGCTCTTAAATGATTCTGAGATATTTGTGAAACTTACAGATTTTATCTTATTTCATTAATTATAAAATTCAGTTTTGTTTCTACATTTTAACATCTCTGAAATCAGGAATATACCACACAACTGATAGCATCTTATAACTAATTGGCAGCATTTTTTTTTTCTTAGTAGTAGTAACAGTATATCCTACTCAATGGTATCTTAGGTAAAATATTGTAAACACTAATTCTTCTGCTGTCATACAAAGGCAGTTCCTCTGAAAATTAGTTAGGACCAACCTGCTAGTCTGGTTTGAATTACACAGTACACAGGAAAGCAATGAACATATTTTCCTTTAAAAAAAAACCTGTATTAATTGAAGTTATTCTCTCTCTCTCACCTTCCAAGCCAGTTTTACAATCAATCAATAACTGAAAAATAACACCCAATAGAAAACATACTCAACAGTGCCATACAGGTAATCACTGTTAATTATAAATTAATGAGTTGATGAACTCTTAAGGCTTGTTTTAGCTCTTGAAAGTCTAGGATCCTATAACCTTAATTATTTTATTAATATTCAGCTCACTGCAAAGTTTTTCATTTCCTCTTCTCTTCCCAACCCTACTCTGTAGTTCAAAATCAGCAGGTCATAAGAAAGTGATCAATGAGTTTATTTTGTTAAACTGTCATATAAAAGACTGAGACTTAAAAAAAAAAGAGCGAAGTCAATCCTTGGAGAAATAAGATGTTAAAAATCCATCAGTACTTTTTAATGTTCACCTTAGAAAATGACCTTAAAACTACTTTTTGTTAATAAAATAATATGACTTCATCATAATTATCACTTGCTGTGAATATTCCTAAAAGTACAGGCAGATTATCAATCAATTTGACTTCCAACACCTACTTTGATGCTTATTTTTTCTAACCTTTTTTACATTATATATATATATTTTTTAATGGGGAAAGGGGAGAAGAAAGGGAAGACAAGTTGAGAGTAAATAAAATCTACTTAGTGTGAGCATTTAGAGCCCCTAAGTAGTTTCTCAGTAGTCATGATTCACCTTTACATCTCTACTTAATGAAGTGCTCCACACACAGGATGTCTGAAGTGAGCTACTTTTCTGAACTGGTAATAAAAATATACAAGTACAGATATTATCTAATGCATCTTGATTTATAATAGGTCAAATCATAATATTCAGTTTGGATATAATTAAGCAAAAAATAACTTTCTTTAAAATCATTAAAAAATAATTTTAACATAATTAAAAAGCTCAGTTAATTTTAAAGGAAGGCCATATAAGCCAAAATGATTGTTTCTTCAAAATCCTGGATGATAATATAGAAACTAGAATAAAGTACATATACAACAAATATCTAAATTTAATTGGTTCTGAGCTTTACTTTTACTAAGGTTTGGGAAAATGGTAGGAAGAGGAAATTAAGATTGGGTAGATTTCTAAGCAGAAGGTAGATAAAGAATGTGGACAATTTTTTAAAGCTCTAAGTTGAATTTTACAGAGATTCATTTTTATTGCTTTTTAAAGGTTAGCAATAGCTTTTGCTGGGAAGGATGAAAGGATCACAATCCAAGTAGCATAAATGTGCAATCATAAAATGTGTAGTTTTGGGATTTGCAGTTCTGCTCTAACATGTAAGTTCATAGACAGACCTCAATATGGTTTCCTTAAAATATCACTCATATCCTTAGATGATAGTCTAGCATTCTGCTAAACTGTTTGCTGTCTGCATGATGATCAGTTAAGTATACTTAATTATTCACGTAGCTCAAAACTACATAAAAAGGGCACCAAGAAACAATGATAATTACTCCAAGCAGTTTAATGCCCTTTTCTGTCTGTTTACTGCCTGAGTTGCTTAAAAAATGTAGAAACTTTCTTCAACACTTGAAACATATTTGGCTATTTTTCAAAACAGTAACAGAAAGAAGAGACACAGAACCTCTGTAACTTTTAAATTTCTGAGACATCAAACAACTTTTTCCACTGGTTTAGTTTTATGAATTGCCAGATTTAGGTAAGACCTTTCTAAAACTAAAATATATTTTAAAATAAATAACACTGTTTCTTAGTTGTCTGTTGGTTCTTATTCTTTATTCGTATAGAAGGTTGACTATAAATATTAGTTGACATTAAATTTTACTTGAAGTTGATGAAAAAGTAACTAGCAATGACTGGTGTCGTCTAGTATTATGAATACAATAAAACCCTGAGATAAAGCACCCTATTACAGATACAAATTTTATTACAATGTTATTGGTTTCTTCCAGCCAGGCCCAAATTCTTAAATGGAGGCACTAAAATTCTTATTCATGGTGAAGGGAAGGAATGAACAAAAGGCAATCCATGGAAACAGGAACTTAGAAGGCAGGTACCTGTGTTCCCATTAGTATCCCAGCTCAGTCTCCGGATTGGGTTGATGATACAGGCACCATTAATCTTAACATTCCTGGAATAGCTATTTTTTTTTTCCCAGAAGTTCCAACCAACTCCCAAGACCCAGAGTAGTCCATATGGATATTTAAGTAGGAAGAAAATACTACAATCGAGACAGGCCATACGGGGACATTCTGAGTGACCCAGCAGGAACTCTTACTTTACAGGCAGCACGCACCAACCTGCCCAGGTCCATTTCATCAACTTCACAATAATGCAACTCTGAATTTTACGTGATGGAGCTTTTCGACACATTTATTATTTTACGGTGTAATTTCATTGTTCAACTTCTCCCAGTTAAGGCTTGACAGCCTTATGTATTACTGGGTATCTCTACAGTCCTCTCGTTCCTGTACTCTGCTCTTTCCCCAATACCCACTTGTCTCCTGAATGGAGAAACTTTAGGGGTTAGGTGTCAATATCTAGAAATTCTACTATTTTTCAAAGAGAAAGTGATCATTACACAGGACAACCAACAATTTGTGTAATACATTTATAAACTTGGACAAAAATGACAAAAGCATAATACATTTACAATAAAAAATGTCCATGTGTTCCTATACTATACAACATCACATTATTTTTTTCAAACAGTCACTTAACAAAATGAATTCACTGATTCATGTTCACAATCTCCCCATAATTTGGTAGCTGTTCTGATACTAATGTTTAAGTAGCAGCCCCACTTACCCGGACGAGTGCATCATCTATGATATGGTCACGTCTGACTTTGAGTCTCAAATACGGATTCAACTGCTGTCCTTGAACTAAGCTGTAGAGAACAGTGATTCTTCGTTCACTGTACATGCGAATTCTATTGTCATAATATAATCCCAAATTCTTTGTGACAGCATTCAATATAAAGGGACATGTCATAAAAGAAAATTTGTTCTCTGTTTCTACTTTGAAAAAAGTATAATCTTTATCCATTTCTAGAACATCATTCAGTGGTTCATTAATAAACTCTTCAAAAGGGATAAGTGGTTTTCGACAATCCAGAGTTTTAACACCAAGTTCAGTTTCCAGTGGGTCCACTCGAGGACCTTTCTTGTTTCTTCTTTCCTCTCCTAGTAGCTCCTGAAGTGTCAATTCGCTGGACTCTGGTATGGGCTCTTCATCATAAGGGAAGGAATGAACAAAAGGCAATCCATGGAAACAGGAACTTAGAAGGCAGGTACCTGTGTTCCCATTAGTATCCCAGCTCAGTCTCCGGATTGGGTTGATGATACAGGCACCATTAATCTTAACATTCCTGGAATAGCTATTTTTTTTTTCCCAGAAGTTCCAACCAACTCCCAAGACCCAGAGTAGTCCATATGGATATTTAAGTAGGAAGAAAATACTACAATCGAGACAGGCCATACGGGGACATTCTGAGTGACCCAGCAGGAACTCTTACTTTACAGGCAGCACGCACCAACCTGCCCAGGTCCATTTCATCAACTTCACAATAATGCAACTCTGAATTTTACGTGATGGAGCTTTTCGACACATTTATTATTTTACGGTGTAATTTCATTGTTCAACTTCTCCCAGTTAAGGCTTGACAGCCTTATGTATTACTGGGTATCTCTACAGTCCTCTCGTTCCTGTACTCTGCTCTTTCCCCAATACCCACTTGTCTCCTGAATGGAGAAACTTTAGGGGTTAGGTGTCAATATCTAGAAATTCTACTATTTTTCAAAGAGAAAGTGATCATTACACAGGACAACCAACAATTTGTGTAATACATTTATAAACTTGGACAAAAATGACAAAAGCATAATACATTTACAATAAAAAATGTCCATGTGTTCCTATACTATACAACATCACATTATTTTTTTCAAACAGTCACTTAACAAAATGAATTCACTGATTCATGTTCACAATCTCCCCATAATTTGGTAGCTGTTCTGATACTAATGTTTAAGTAGCAGCCCCACTTACCCGGACGAGTGCATCATCTATGATATGGTCACGTCTGACTTTGAGTCTCAAATACGGATTCAACTGCTGTCCTTGAACTAAGCTGTAGAGAACAGTGATTCTTCGTTCACTGTACATGCGAATTCTATTGTCATAATATAATCCCAAATTCTTTGTGACAGCATTCAATATAAAGGGACATGTCATAAAAGAAAATTTGTTCTCTGTTTCTACTTTGAAAAAAGTATAATCTTTATCCATTTCTAGAACATCATTCAGTGGTTCATTAATAAACTCTTCAAAAGGGATAAGTGGTTTTCGACAATCCAGAGTTTTAACACCAAGTTCAGTTTCCAGTGGGTCCACTCGAGGACCTTTCTTGTTTCTTCTTTCCTCTCCTAGTAGCTCCTGAAGTGTCAATTCGCTGGACTCTGGTATGGGCTCTTCATCATCTTCTTCATTATGATTTGTGTCCACTTCCCCTCCCACTACATTTGCATAGTAAACCATTTTCAAGCACTTTGAAGCAGCAACGATAGCATCATCATCATTCACTAGATTTCGACTGTTAAATTCATTGCTTATGACTTTGTAAGTAATAAGCTGCTGAAATGTTTCCATCATTCTCCGAATCTGGTCTGCACTGTACTTGGACCACAGTCTGACCAGTTTCCCTTGGGCTGCAAGGGGCAGCTTACTCATTGCTTTGCAAAATAATGGCAAAGCCATTTCCAGATATTCAGGACTGTGGAGATTTCTATTCTCCATTACAATAATGAATAAGTTCAGATAATTAGGATCTCGGGAGTATACATTGTGATATGTTAAGTCACATTCCACATTAGGTGACAAATATACAAGTGCATTGAGAAAGGCAGTTTCTATTTTTTCATTAGACAGCAATCTGGTGTAGACTCTTCTAATGGCCTCAATGTCCACAGACACATCATCAGGGCCTAATTTTTGTAAGTTGTTATCTCCTTGCGAGGTATCATTTATCCTTGAGGAAGAGGCCTCTGAATCTTCTTCCATAGCAGCAGAACATGCAGCTTTTTCTTTTTCATCTTCATCTTTGTCTTCATCCTTTCCTTGAAGAGATTTCAGTTCTTCCTTGGTATGTTGTTTGACTTTCCGAAAGCTTTGTACCAATGCCTCAGCACTAGAAAAAACTCTTCCAATAACACGGATTAAGGGGGAATAATCTTCTCTCTCTCTACATAATTCCAGAATTTCATATACGATCTCTTCTGTTAGGTAAGTCACATCTAGAAAATTAGAAGAAAATCAAAGAAATTAATTTTCATAGTATGTTTGTTTTAATAAATTCTAGTGAAAAGTAGCCAAACATTTTGCACTCAATTATCATTTACGATTTATAGGTCTTTTAAAAAAATTCTAATATTTTCAATAAACATGATGCTTACCTATTTTTTTCAGTGAACTAGTAATAGCAACCACCTCACCCATTCGTCTATAGTCCATCAATAATGCATAGCTTTTAATGAGCTCAATCTCTTTCTACAATCCCAGTATTTATTAACATGCAGCTTTATGAATCAAGATATTATGTGCTGACTGATCACACCTCCTACAACCTTGCTTTAGAGCAGAAACACTACTGAGAAGTTTCTTCCTCATTTTACTACTCTGTTCTCAAAAGACTAAGGCAGCAAGGTTTTATGAAAGGTTCCTTCAGTAACCTCTTTTGGAAATAGCCCATCTTATTTTTGTATACAAGTGAGTTTGAACAACATGGGGGCTGGGGCACCAACCCTCTGCACAGTCATAAATCCATGTATAACTCCCCCAAATTTTACAAATAGTGTACTGTTGACCAGAAGCTTTACTGATAACATAAAGAGCCAATTAACATATATTCTACATATTATATACTACATTCTTTATAATAAACTAAAGAGAATGTTTCAAACTGTTAATTTCCCCCCCAAATTCCAATGTATTTATAAAAAAAATCTGCCTGTAAGTGGACCCATGCAGCTCAAACCTGTAATTCGAGGGTTAACTGTATATTAAAAGCTAACTAGTTCCTTCTGGGTTTCTGGGTTTTCCTTCTTAGTTTTTTCCAGGGCGGCCATTGTGTTGTTGACTGAGATGATTAATATACCATTTCTCACTGCAAAGCTGCAAAGTTGACAAGATACTTCATCTGTAGCCAGATATCAGGTTGGAATAAATCTCACAAAGTGACAAGAAATAGTTACAGAGAAATAAAAAAACAACAGAATGGGAAGAGGAAAATTATGTGCAGTCAGGTAAAATAGAAAACCAAAATATAGTCACCAAAATCTACTATTTTCCTTCCTGGACACAGAATTGGACCAAATTTTCTTGCTTTCTGAGCATTTTTGAGGCAAGCCCTATTTTCAGGCCTGGACTTCCCTCCTTCTGGCTAATGGGATGATGCTTACAGGATGGCAACTGAGAGCAAGTGCTAAAGATTACAATGCCACTACACCTGCACCTCTGAATGTGAAGCAGAACTTACCAGCCATAATATCATGGCTGTTAAAGATGAGCTAGAAATAAACTTCCTCTTTCATAACCTTGTACTTTTTCTGGGGTGTACTTAATACTGCAGTCTAGCAGATTCTTACTAGTATTACCTTTCCCCATTTTGTCTTCAGAGTCTTTAAAATACCAGTAATGACTATCCCTCTTAGTTATACTTCATCTTTTCTAGTACTTTTTTCTTAATATAAATTTTATAACTAAGATAATCTGATATACTACCATTGTTTCTGCAGCTACTTAACTTCAAGGAAGTTTTATTATATTTTTTTATTGTATCCATTCTGCCCCATAAATAATTAACATCATAAAAGGCAAAAATGACAGAGGCAGTGAAAGGTCAGACTGATACCAATTTATTACACATTTTTAGAGTTACAGTAATGTTAAGTTGAAATTTTAATGAAATCATGGAAGAAACCAAAAAGAGACTATTTCAAGGATTTTTGACATAAAAGCATCTGAAGCCCTGGACCACTGCAGGGGGAGTTTGTAGCAGTTGCTGGGGGGCATCTTTCTTCTTGCTCACATCTCTCTCTAGACGTGGTAGATTAGGCCACCATGACCACCTTTTTGCCAGTCGACTGACTGTTCTTATACCTGCTAGTATTCCCCCACACAGTGCCTGGCAAACTTAAAGCTCTCATTCTCTTCACCAACAAAACTTAAGTCTGTACATAGACTCAATGAAGAGTAAATTTGGAGGTTATGGAACGCATTAGTTCTCAAGGGGAGTGCTATTGGATGAAACACATGAGAAAAACTTCATGTGTTCCTTCTCTTATGGTTTCCTTACTGGAGAAAAAAATACAAGCACACACCTCACAGAAAAGTGAATTTTAAATGCTGTAAAATTTAGTAACTTCCAGTTGTCATCTTGGAGTCAACAACTCAAATGTTAATTTACTTCGTGTTGTATGATATGAACTTGCATAACATTTGACTTTTTCATAGAAAGTGACTGAGTGGAAAACATTTAAAGCATTCAAATTCAAACAGAAGTAAATCCCAGTGCTTGGGAACATCATACAATTGACATCTTCTAGATTTAACACCTCAAATCATAAAACTTCCTGATATTTACCATAAGTTTCAATTTAAAAAAGGAAAAAAACCAACATTTTAAAATTAACTTAGATATAATGCACTCATTCTCATGATCTATTACAAAAAACAAACAAAACCCTCACCCCACATTTTTCTCATTTACTGTATGAGATAAGCCTATAATTACAAAATTTCACCTTACCAAAGCTGAGAAATTATCTCAGCAACACTATTTTTTCTTTTATGATATGCATGAATATCAGATAACTGGAGGTAAAAAAAAAAAAAATTCAAATCCTATAGTCAATAGCTTCATTAATAAAAGAAAGAAGTGAAAACATCCTTTAAACAGAAGATAGTAAGTTGATAATCAACTACAATACTCTGGGTAGAGATAATTCAAAAACTTGAAAGCTCCAAGTTATTTGTGTATTTGTGTGTTTTTTGTGATCGCTAATGGCTACCATTTATCTGGCATTACTGAAAGCACTCAAATGTTTGTTCACAGGCAAAACTGACCAATTACAGAAAGGATATGAAACCTCTAATGACAAACCAATGGACCTACCTCATTCCTAACTGATGGAAAGAGGGCTATGTTCAATGCTGGGCAGTACCCAAAAAAAAAGTTTTGTGTTAAGAGTTATACTAGTTTAGTTTACATGGGTACATCAACTTAAATTTTCTATTGTGGTTATTTCTAACTCCAAATTAAAGTACTATAATCATTCTGTATCTGAAAGGTGATCATTCTGTATCTGATAGGTGATCTTCTGAAACTGCTGTCCTCCCCCAGCTTTCTGGTGTTTCTGGGCAAACACTGCAGGCTGAGAAAACTCCAAATCTATACACCCCCTCTTCCCTGACATGCCATTATAACAGAAACTGTTAAAAACTAAACACTAGTATTTCAACCCCCATTTGTACTTGGGGACAGCATGTGACTCAGGTCTGCCAATGACCTAAACAGGAGTCTCCTGATAGATTTCTGAGAGTTTGTTTTCACAATGGAGGGAAATACGATTAACTCATATTTTCAGTAGGAAAAATAATCATTTTAATTAATTTCTATTAATAGATATACAGAATAAGCTAATATCATCTTCAAATTACCCAAAGATCATGTCTCTAACAAATTATAAAATTGTCCTTCAAATGAAGAAAAATCATGTTTACTAATATTTCAAGACCATTTTTCATAAGGTGGTACAAAGCAGGCCAGTAAAAACACAATCAAACTGCAGAATATAAAGAACACCCCAAATAAAGCTTTTGTTATTTTAAATAAACTATTCAGATATGTTATTTTACAGGAAAGAGAATAATATATTTTATCTATGAACTTTATGGAGATTATATTGGTCAAACTATACTGACAAAACTCTTCATCTGGTCTTTCATCAAGAGTGACAGACTTGTCATTAACCACTCAGGCAGAAGATAATTTTAGTCATGTGGCTCTATCTCCACTGTGAAAAAGGAACCCTTATACATGTTCTGTATGATATATAAAATTTCTTAATATGATTCCCACCTCTGCTTTAATGTATTTGCTTCACAGTAAGAGACAATATAAAATGCAAGTGATTACTGAATGAACAGCCTCCAAAAGTTGAGCCACAACAGTATCAAATTTTATCACACCACATATCTGATCTTTGGTCCTTACCAGACTGTCAACACCAGAGATTTTTTTTAATGGGCCTTAACTTTTTAAGAATTTATCTTCAGGTTTGTTCTATTAAGGATGTACAGGTATTGCCCACTTTTCAAGAGGTGGTTGTACACCACTTCTTTTCTTACAAAAGAACTACATAAGTACGTATCTGTTTTCACTAACTAAACAAATCTGAAGAGGAATTTTGCTTTACAAGAACAGGTGAAAAACGAAAATAGTGTTCAGTTTTTGTTTTACAGTGAGCCATTACAGACAGCACATGCCCCAAGCAGTTAGTGGCAGTGCCAAACTCCTTCACTGGGAACTACACTCAGCATCTCAGCATAAAGCTGCCATAGTTTTGCTGTTGATTTTGCACAGCTGTTAGCAAGATGTGTCCTAAGGTAAGATTTCAGAGAAATGAAAGCTTTATTTTCAGAGATCAGGGGAAACCTATATAGGCTTCTTCTGACTGTAAAGTGTGAAACAGCTAACTTGGACCTCATTTTTCAGTATTTTAACTGGAAAAAATTATAAATACCTTCTTACCAGACAATGTAAAACTTCTAATTTCCTAAAATAACCAAAACACAGTAAATATTGCAATTATACATAACTATCTTGTTAGGATGAAAAAAGTTTTGCATCCTAGTCATTAAATCATTAAGTTGTTAAAAAAAAGTTGCTATGAATGCAGTAAAATGGCCTATCGTAGGGACAACAATATTCTAGACCCATACTCTTTTTTGACATGTTATACTCCTCAGAACATCTTTAGGTGATTCTGATATTCCATTAATTCTACATAAAATATATCAAACTTTTCCCAGTGTCTTTTTAAGATGTTGAACTGAGCTGAGTTTTTCAGACATAAATATAAATTAGTTTAAAAACATTGTAATTAGAGTATAAACATTTATAAAGCTTGGGTATCAATAGAAAGAGGTATTTGATATGAGAGAATATTGAGACATTTTTGTATGATATACCTGTATATCTTGAGATACATGTGTGTTCCTGAAAATATTCTTATTTTATAAAATTTTACAGTGAAAAAATTTCTTCTATAAAACAACTTTGTAACTAGAGGTAACAAACATAATTATCAATCAAAATAAAAGTATTAGTGCACTTAATACATTTATAATTCCTAGTAGAATAATAGTATAGTAATAACAGAATGTGACAGAAAAAAAGGGGGAGGGACAGTAGCATATTGGAAGGAAGTATAAGAAGCTGCTACATCACACAGGTTTGAGCAAAAACAGCACACAAAGACTGGGGATGACCATTCAGTAAGCATCTCTAAGAGGAAGCACATAGGCAAAAAAGATGTGTTCATCCATCCTGTAATATAAACCTCCATGGCTGGCTGGCAGCGCATTCTACAATAAGTAACTGGTACTCTGTAGTGCATGGATCTAGGGACCTGTGTATAATGGAGTCAATGCAACTTCTTTATTATACATACTGACAAACTGACCTACTTAATCACAGTGTATGAGATAATCCATGTAACAGAACCATGCATTATGAAGCAAAACTTCTACCAAATTATGAAAACAGCTTTAACATGGAAACTGAAAAGCTATATGACACAATTCCATTTCACTAATTAATTTAAACTTAATACATACAATGTTACAAAACTTGGTAAGTATCCTGTAACTCATATACAAGCATACCTTGGATATACTGCAGGTAAGGTTCCAGACGACCACAATAAGAGAATATTGCAATGAAGTGGGGCAAATGAATTTTTTGGTTTCCCAGTGCATATAAAAGTTAAGTTTACCCTATACTGTAACCTGTTAAGTTTGCATTATGTCTAAAAAAAAAAAGTAGATACCTCAATTTAAAATACTTTATTTCTAAAAATGCTAATCATCATCCAAGCTTTCATCAATTTTTACTGATGGAAGGTCTTCCCTTGATGTTGACAGCTGCTGACTGATCAACAGTGGTTGTTAAAAGTTGGAGTGGCTGTGGCAATTTCTTAAAATAACACAGCAATGAAGTTTACTGCATTGATTGCCTCTTCCTTTCACAATGCTGTTTGATAGCATTTTACCCACAGCAGAATTCTTTCAAAATTGGAGTCAAAGCTACTGCTTTATCAACTAAGTGTGTGCAATATTCTAAATCCTTTGTTGTCACTTCAACAGTCTTCACACCATCTTCACCAGGAGTAGATTCCATGTTGAGAAACCACTTTCTTTACTCATCCACAAGCAGTAACTCCTCACCCGTTTCAAATGTTATCAAGAGATTATAGCAGCTCAGTCACATCATCAGCCTGCACTCCTAATTCCCGTTCTCTTGCTGTTTGCACCACATCTGCAGTTACTTCCTTCATGCAAGTCTTGAACCCCTCCAAGTCATCCATGGGGTTTGGAATCAACTTCTCCCAAACTCCTGCTAATGTTGATAGTTTGATATCTTCCCATGAATCATGAATCAGTGTTCTTTAATGGCACCTAGAATGGTGAATCCTTCCCAAAAGGCTTTCAATTTACTTTGCCCAGAGCCATTAGAGGAATCACTATGTATTGCAGTTATAGCCTTAAGGAATATATTCTGCAAATAAAAAGACTTGAAAGTTGAAATTCCTTCCTTGATCCATGGGCTGCAGAATGGATGTTGTGTTAGCAGGCATGAAAACAACATTCGTTCTGTTGTATGTCTCCATCAGAGCTCTTGGGTGGCCAGGTGCATTGTCAGCAAGCAGTAGGATTTTGAAAGGAATCTTTTTATGAGCAGTCGGTCTTAATAACAGGCTCAGCATATTCAGTACACCATGTTGTAATGAGATGTGCTGCCATCCAGGCTTTGTTGTTCCGTTTGTGGAGCACAGACAGAGTAGATTCAGCATAATTCTTAAAGACCCTAGGATTTTTCAGAGTGGTCCATGAGCACTGGCTTCAACCTGAAGTCTCCAGCCGCACGTGTCAGTCCCTAAAAAGCATCAGCCTGCCCTTTGAAGCTCTGAACCCTTGAGCCAGGCACTGACTTCTCTTGAACTGTGAAAGTCCTAGATGGTCTCTTCTTCCAATAGAGGGCTGGTTTGTCCACACTGAAAATCTGTTGTTCAGGGTAGACACCTTGTTTAATGATATTAGCTCCATCTTCTGAGTAACTCACTGCAGCTTCTACACCAGCACTTGCTGCTTCACCTGCACTTTTATGCTGTGGGGATGGCTTCTCTCCTTAAATCTCGTGAACCCACCTCTGCCTGCCAGCTTCCAACTTTTCCTCTGCAGAAGGCTTCCTCTGTTCTCAGCTGTCAAAGAATTGAAGGGCCTTACTCTGGATTAGACTTTGGCTTGAGGGAATGTTGTGACTGGTTTGGTCTTCTTTCCAGGCCACTAAAATTTTCCCGTATCAGCAGTAAGGCTGTTTTGTTTTCTTACCATTTGTGTGCTCACTGGAGGAGCACTTTTAATTTCCATCAGGAGCTTTTCCTTTGCATTCAACAACTTGACTGTTTGGGCTCAAGAACCCTACTTTCAGCCTGTCTCAGCTTTCAACATGCCTTCCTTGCTAAGCTTAATCATTTCTAGCTTTTGGTTTAAAGTGAGAGACATGCAACTCCTCCTTTCCCTTGTATACTTAGAGCCCATTACAGGTGGGCCTAATTTCAATACTGTCATGTCTTGGGGGATAGGGAAGTCTGAGAAGAGGGAGAAAGATGGAGGAATGGTTGGTCAGTAGAGCAGTCAGCATACACACATTTATTAAGTAAGTTCACCACCTTTATATGGGCACAGTTTGTGGCACGACAAAAGAATTACAATAGTTAGTATCAGAGAACACTGATCAGAGATTGTGTTATTAACAAAAGTAACAATAATAACAATAATTATGAAAAAGTTTGAAATATTGTGAAAATTACCAAAATGTATCAGAAACACAAAGGGAGCAAATGCTGTTTGAAACATGGCACTGAGACTTGCTTGATGCACGGTTGCCACAAACCCTCAACTTTGAAAAACGCTCTATCTGTAAAATGCAGTAAAACCAAGCATACTATGAGGTATGCCTGTATGTTTTAAACAAAAAGCTTCCTCTTTGAATACACAATTACCTCTGATGGGGCTAAGCCTTGTCAGCCATTCAGAAATGTGATTACCTTTTTACTAATATTTGTTATTTACAGAGGGCATAAATGTTTTGAGGATAAGAAAAAAAGGAAAGAAAGTTTTTAACAATTTGGCAATGCAGGATCATTGAGAAAACAAAGTGAAGTCTGCACGAAGAATGGCACTGTTACATGTGATTATTGGTGGCATGAGTGTGCTGGTTATGGCAGCATGTGAACACAATATGGAAAGAATACTTTAGAAGGAAAAACTGAATTATTTTTAAGGTAGCTATTCCAAAATCCTGCCTTGCTTCCTCTTTCTGCTATTTTCATTGCATAGTACTTGGGTTCCACAACTCATACCACATGTTCAGTCCAGCTATTCCATAATTAAGTAGACTTTGTAGCCTACTTTGGGAGATTAACTACCAGTATATTTCCTGACTGAAATGCTTAAAAGTTCCAATCAATCATTAACAAAGGAACTTTTGGAGTATAATCTGCTTCTAATCAGAGATGTTTATAACAGTAAAATGTGGTTAAATCTCTAACTTATTTTGTCCTTTACCACACACAGAAAAAATCAGTTCCAATATACTATCATGTCCTAATGTCACACAATTAGACAAATCAAAACCTCACACATTATTTACATCTCCAGTCTTGTTTTCAGTAAAAAATTCTCAATTAAAGAGGACATCTTACCTTTAAAATCATCTCTTGCTCCTTGTCCTTCCTTCTTATTCATTTTTATGTCAGAGCAGGAGTTGTTAGGGGTACCTTTCGAGTTCTCAAGGTAAGCCGAGCTTGCTCCTTTCTTGGAGGGATGAGGATCACAGAGTTTTGCATTAATCTTATAAAGCTCAAGGGCTTTAATAGCTGCTGCATTGTTATCCATACGAAGAAAAGTTGGACAGGAAGCACAAAACTCATTCGTGCAGGCCTCATTTCCACAGCCCTCAGTTAACTGGTGGTAGTAGCGTTCTATTAGATGCTTTGCAGCTGCTCGCTTCCTGTACCAAACATTCAAATAAGCACAGTGATTATGATTAGTACAGCTCTGAGGTACAAAGCTCAACAGATCATCAGCAAGACAAAAGTTAGTCAAGCACTGAAGTAATAAACTTGCATATTAAGATGAGGTGTTAGAAAATGGAGATCTCTACTTACATAAAATTTCTAACTAAGGGAATATTTGATAAATATTTCCCTGGTTAAAATAAGATAAATAAGATATGTGAGAAAGTATCAATGTTTATCAAAATCACTGTTTTAACAGGATATGCTGTCCTTTAGTTTTAAAAAAGGGGAGAAAACTTGTTTGATGGTATGCAGGCTTAAACTGTTTGAACAGCTGAACTGCAAGGTTTATGGCTAAGAGTTTTTGTATTTCATCACTTTAAAAACTGACATTAAGAAATCAGAATCTATCTAAAGTACTGATCCAGCTTTCCTTTATAGAGTCACCATTTTATTCCAGCAGCTTATAAATACCTCATTTATAGGTAACACAGAACTTCTTCCTGAAACAGAAAAGCCTGTTCCCTATTAACTATCATATAGATTTTAAAGTAAATCTGTAAATGAAATACCCAAAGCTTGTGTTACACTGTAAGAAAGTGACTCAAAGCATAATCCTGAACCCAAAACATGTTAAACTTCATTATTAATTCCATGTCATAAGAACATGGAATAAATTCCCTTCGAGCCAAATCTTACATTCCTCTTAGTTTGTGAACTTATGTAGACTAATGTTGCATTATATCTGTTCCTACAGAGCTACCAAGGATATTTAGAAAGGGATTATTTCATCAAGCAAGAAGCAAGACTACATACATTATCTGTCTCTGTATTTATAGTTTATTCAAATCTAACATCTATGTTCCTATTATCTGATGACATGAGATTACCATAATTTAAACAGAGTAGCCTATTTTAAATTATCTGAAGATATCGTATACATAGCTATTCCTTTTGGTCAAATTCACATGCATGGGAGTAAGAACTACAAATAATCAAAAGCATAAAAAAATACCTAATTTAATTCTCAAAATGTTCCTACAATTATCTTACCAACACGTAGGACTAAATGTCAAATGGCATTAGAGTTTACATTTTGTTAATTATGAGATACATCTTGCTAATCATGAGAAACTGAAAAATTAACAAGGCAAGGAAGTAGTAGGTAAGGACACACTAATAGGTCCAATTTTATCTCAAAAATAGGACTCTGTCTCTAAACTATCAAGGTAAATGACACAGAGTAATAATTCAAACACATTCAATTCATTCTGGTGCTTCTATTTTTCAAGTGTTCCATGCAAATTTACCACTCACTGCATGCAAATAGAGAAAAAAGAAAAACTCACAAAACACACTTAAAAATAACATGAACATGACTTCAGATATTTTATTATATGTAGCTATAAACAATTCCATTTTTGAAAATTATTCCAGATATATAACTATTTGAAATATTAAAAGTGACAACATGTAATTTTTATTATATGTAGCTATAAACAATTCCATTTTTGAAAATTATTCCAGATATATAACTATTTGAAATATTAAAAGTGACAACATGTAAAGGAAGAGAAATATAGAATCTATAAGATTTATACCATATACTGCTATTCTTCAATGAAGAATGGGGTATTAATGCCATCTTCTCCCAAACTGCAGAAATTTTCTCTAATGAGAATGTAAACAGGTATATATTTCCTTTCTAAAGTTAAATTATGAACATGTATCAGAAGTCTTAAAAACATAATCAGAGAATGAACTACACAAATCAGAGATCCCATTTGTGGGAAATAATTGGATGATTTTGCAAAATGGTGTTAAAAGAGTTATTTTAACTGAATGATATGACTGAATAGGTGTTTTAAATCCTCCTATCTTTATGCTTCTAATTTATTTTTTCTGTAATAAATACACTACTAGTATACTAAGAATTAATAAATACAAATGGGGAAAATGTTTGTAGTTTTAAAACTTCACATACATGATTTCAATGGCTTCAAGGTTTACTAAATTGATCACGATTATCAAAAGTCAGAATAGCAAAGTTTTTCTTAATAAGACTGTCAGATTTTTTCCTTTAAAAATAACAGAAAACCATAGTCACATACATAATACTTCTCTATATAATGCCTAAAGAAATGTGAACAGTAAAAATACTACAAGACTGAGAAATGAGAAGACCTGTACTAAGTGACAACTCCTTCTGCCTCTGAAGACGTAGCTGTATGATCCTGAACAAGTAATTCCCATCTTTAAGACTCCCTTCAGTTCTGAATTCTGGGTTATTCTATGCTGCAGGGAAGTGAGCAAGGAACCAGCATTTGTTAAATACTGATAACACACTAGACCCACTGGTATGAACTTTGACATAGGTCATCTCATTTGAATCCCATGATTCTGAGGATTATTTTCAGTACATAGCTAAAAGAGGAGACAGAATAAAGTCAGATCATGTACCCAACATTACACAAAGGAAGTGCAGAACCAGGACAACAGGAGTCCACAGGTCTTCTGCCTCCAGAGTCTAAGTCATTTCTATCATTTTATCTTATAGAAAGTGATTCATTTCAAAATAATTCTCATAGTAGTATGAAAAAATTTTATGGGAAAAAATCCCATAAATAATGTGTGATTGAAAAAAGCAAAAAAACCTTCTGAAAAATCATTAATTTGAATTTCATATTGATGTACGGTATCTGACGTAACACAAGTACATTAAATTTCTCCAGGAATAGATATGACTATATTTTGTTAAGTTGTAATTTATTGAGGACCTATGTGCTAGATACTTTACAGATGTTCCTGCTTTAGGAGGCTTTAAACCCTAGCAGTTAAGAGCTCTCATTCTAAGGTCAGAAGGCCCAGTTTTACATGCTGGTTCTGCCTGCCACTTATTACCTATGTGACCTAGAATGGGTTACTTCTATGTGTCAGGTTCCTCATCTTTAAGATGATGGTTTATATGAGAATTATCATAGCTTTAGAAGAACTGAAAGAGTTTATATATATTAAGTGCTTAGAATACTGACTGTCACATAGTAAACACCATGAAAGCATTAGTCACTAATAAGTCACACGTCCAATAAGAGATTTTAATTCAGGCTTGTCTCAAAAATTTGGGTTTGCAATTCCACTGAAGGAAGACTTACTACCAGAAAGGGAAAGTAGTCCCCTCTATTTGATCTGCTTCTCTGGTCTCAACTTAAAAACAGCAACTACATTGATGAGACACAACCGAAAGGAGGCCATGTTGGAACCTCCATGCTATCCGTGGACTCAATCACAATAAGCATATTTCCTCTTTTGTCACTCCAATGACACTAATTTACCTCTGTATAATTCGGTATCCCCATAAAACTTAGAACACATAAAAGGCTTCTAAGTTGGTAAATAACCTGCAAACGGTTAATCTCTATATAGTAGAAGATGCCAAATCATACTATGGGCCAAGTCTAACCCACCCCCTGTTTTTTATAGCCTGCAAGCTATATATGGTTTTATAATTATAAATGGTAGAAAACGTCAGAAAAATAATATTCTGTGACATGCAAAAATGTTTATATAGTCTTATTAGAACATAGCCAACTTCATCCTCTTAAACTGTCTACTGTTTTTTGCACTACTAAAGAAGAGTTGGATAGTTTTAACAGAGACTGTATAGCCTGCAAAGCCTAAAATAAATACTACTTGGCTCTTTACAGGAAAAAATGTACCAATTCTTAATTTAAAGTCTGTGCTGTCTGCCCTCCAGTGATACTTCCAACTTATCACATGGGCTCCTCACTCTTTCTTTCCCCTCAGCAAAACAGTGCAGTAAAATGTACACCTTCCTCCAGTATAATAAAAGAACAGGGAAGGAGCGAGGGAAAAAGAATGGGGAAGAAATGAGGAGGAAGGAAGAAATGAAGTGACAGAAAAAAGGCAACAAATGAAGAGAAGGCCTTTCCCTAAGTCCCTTTATTGACACTTACCTGCCATTCATAAAACTACCAGAAGGGGAGCCACGGCTTGCTTCTTTAATTTCCTTACATCTCACTGACTTTTCTTGCTATTCAAAAACCAAACTAAGTACTTTATAATATGTTGATGCTTTTCTTACTGAGTCACTAGTGAAGGCCAAGTGAGAACTTCTAGTGACAGAGCTCTCAAAAATAAAGTAGACACCTGGAAACACACATTTAAAACAGACAATACTTTTCCATTTCCATTTACTTGTTTTATTTCTGACTGGATTAGTGATACATTCCATAACATTTTATGGAATAACTTCTATGTGGAGGGCCACAGTTACTCTAAAAAACCTGACAGAAATCTTTTCAGAAAGGATTTCACCTTAGGGGAAACTGTACAGCAATTAACTCTGAAATGCATGGGGAATAAAAAAGAGACGGACAGATGGATAGATGGATGCACGTTATCAAACAATATAAGTATTCCTGGTAGGCTCTAGAAGGTAGGCATATGGTGTCAGTTGTAAAATTCTTTCAACTTTGCTGCACGTTTTGAAGATTTCTAAATAAAACATTATGGAAAGCATTGTTACCATATTGCAACGTTTTACAGAGCTTGCCAACTGCAGAGGAAATAGTTTTAGAAAACTAATGTCAGTGTTATCAATGGCACTAATGCCATGTTACTGACTTTAAATCCTAATTTTTAGAGCAGTCCAGAAATTAACAGAAACAAAGCCAAATAAAAACTCCTATATTAATGATAAAAATAAGAGCTACAATCTAACCATAACTATGCACAGCAACTTAATTTACCTGTAAAGGAGACAAATATGAGGGAAGTATGTTTAATGTTCCTATACCAATGGCACACCATTGGGGTTAGAATCACTGAAACGGCTGCCAACAAAATAGGAGATGAAAGTTGACAAAGATCTCAAATTGAACTGAAAAAGCAGTTGGAAAATAAGCAATGAATACAAGAACGAAAAAATGAAGCCATAAAGATAGCAACTGTCAGAATGGCCAACATAAAAAGA